GCAGGAGGGTGAAAGACATCGAGCACTCCTAGCTTGGATAGAAGAAGATGGTGTTGACTGACTCCCAAACCTTTTGTAAGAAGATCTGCAAGTTGAGACTGTGTGGCAATGTAGTTGGTCTCAATAAGGCCTTCTTTTATCTTTCTCCGAACAAAGTGACAATCAATGTCTATATGTTTGGTACGTTCATGGAAAGTGGGATTTGCAGCAATCTAGATGGCTGCTTTGCTATCACAGTGAAGTTGAATTGGTTTGGAAACTACCACACCTATGTCCTGCGGTAATCCAACTAACCATACAATCTCGGCTACACTTGCTGCCATGCTTCGATATTCAGCTTCAGCTGAACTTCTACTGAATGTGTGTTGTTTCTTTGTCTTCCATGAGACCAAAGAATCACCCAGTTTAATCACATACCCCGTGACTGATCGCCTAGTATTGGGACATGCTGCCCAATCAGAGTCACAATAAGCAGTCAATTGAGTGGCTGGCTTATGGCTGAGAAAAATTCCCAAACCTGGGCTGCTTTTAATATATCTCACCACCCTTAAGGCTGCTTCCCAATGTGATTTCTTGGGCAGTTGCATAAATTGGCTAAGAACCTGAACAGGGAAGCTTATATCTGGGCGTGTGATAGTAAGATAAATCAACTTACCCACCAATTTTTGATAACCTGACACCTCTTCGAGTATAGGATCATCAGCTACTCCAGTCAATCTGTCCAATTCAATAGTTGTGAGTCTTGTGCTTGCTTCAATTGGTGTGGAAGCTGGTTTTGCACCACTAAGCCCCACATCTGAGATCAATTCTAAAGCATACTTTCTCTGATTGAGAAGTATGCCCTGTTTGGACCTCAACACTTCAATCCCTAGGAAATATTTGAGTTCTCCAAGATCTTTAACTTTAAAATTGTTGTGTAGAGCTTTTTTTGCTTCTTCAATGAGATGTATGTTGTTCCCAGTAATGAGAAGATCATCAACATAGATTGAAATGATCACCATGTTGTCTCCTTTCCTTCTAGTGAACACTGAATGATCATGAGGACTTTGACAGTATCCTGCTTCCACCAAAACAGAAGTGAGCTTGATATTCCATTGCCTCGAAGCCTGTTTGAGACCATACAAGGATTTCAAGAGCTTACATACCCTATACTCCCCCTGCCTGTGGAATCCTTGTGGCAAATCCATATAGACTTCTTCATACAAATCCCCTTGAAGAAATGCATTGTTGACATCCATTTGGTATAAGCACCAATTCTTCGAGGCTGCCACACTAATGACTGTTCGAACAGTGACCATCTTTGCAACAGGGGAGAAGGTCTCATGATAGTCCAGACCCACTTTTTGTGCATATCCCTTAGCTACTAGTCGTGCCTTGTATTTGTCAATCTCACCATTAGCCTTGTACTTAATCTTGTAAATCCACTTTGAGCTTATGGTTTGCTTTCCTTTGGGCAATGAAACTAACTCCCAAGTTTTGTTCCCTTCCAGTGCATCAATTTCCTGTTGCATAGCCAAAATCCAATTGGGATCTTGAGAAGCTTCTTTAAATGACTTAGGCTCAGTTGATATAGAGAAAGAACCTAAGTAGGCTTGATAATTGGGATGAAGATGAGAGTAACTGACATGTTTGGATATAGGATAAGAGCAATGGGCTTTTGACTTCCCAGTAGTGATATAGTCACTGAGCCAAATTGGTGGTCTAGGTGTTCTGCTTGGTCTGCCATGGGCAGTCCCACCTTCTTCATGTTGTTGGACTGCTTAAGCTGCTGATTCCACTGGTTGTAGTTCAGCTTGATCTGGTCCTAGAGGTGTGGGGGTATCCAGATCTTGCTGAGAATCCACTTCAACTGCAGTGTCTAATGTTGCTTCAGGGACTAATGAAGTGTCTTCTGTAGTAACAATGTCTGCAGGTTCATGTTGGGATTCTGCATTATGTTGACATTGATCATGTGCTTCTCCTGCATGTGTCTGAATGATTCCTGCAGGTGTAGTGTTACTGAACTAAGAAAAATCACATAAATTTTCTGCAGCTTCAGTTTTAAAAGGAAATATAGATTCCTTGAATTGCACATCCTTGCTAATGAACACTTGATGGTCTTCAAGATCATATAACTTGTAACCCTTTTGTGTTTCTGAATAACCCACAAAGATTGTCTTCCTGGCCCTCAAAGTGAACTTATCACCTCTAGGCAATCTGCTAGCATAGCAGAGACATCCAAACACCTTCAGATGAGATAGTTGAGGCAACCTGCCATGTAGGAGCTCAAATGGTGTTTTTCCTTGTAGCACTTTAGATGGTAATTGATTGATCAGATATACTGCAGTCCTCACACAATCTCCCCAGAACTTTATAGGCACTGAACTCTGAAATGCCAAGGCTCTAGCCACTTCTAGAATGTGTCTGTGCTTTCTCTTCACAACTCCATTTTGTTGTGGAGTATATGGACAACTGCTTTCATGAATTATGCCATAGGAAGACAAAAGTTCATCACACATTGAGTTAAAGAACTCACTACCATTATCTGATCTAAGGATCTTAACAGTTTTATCAAACTGATTCTTTATTAAGGCAAGAAAGTTTTTCAACAATACAATCACTTCACATTTAGACTGGATCAGGCAAATCCAAGTATGTCTACTGTAATCATCTACCATAGTAACAAAATAGTATCTTTTATCATATGTAGGTTTCCTGTAGGGACCCCACACATCTAAATGCAACAGTTGAAAAGCACAATTTGAACTACTGTTACTAACAGGAAACTTCAGTCTACTTTGCTTTGCTAAAGGGCAAGTCTCACAACAGCTTAACTGTTCAATATCTAGTTTATTTTTGACATCTGCAATATGTTGCATTGCTTCAATAGAAGGATGTCCAAGTCTCCAATTCCATAGCTTTCCACAATCATCATCCTTATGCACTGCTGCTCCAACTGTAGGTTTTATTCTTTCTTGCAGTATGTATAATCCTTCCTTTTCTTTACCAATCCCCAGAACCTTCCCATTGAAGAGTCCCTGGAATACACAAAAATCAGGAAAGAACAAAGCCACACAACAAAGCTGTTTGGTTATCTTGGACACTGAAAGTAGATTAAACTTGAAATCTGGCACATGAAGCACATTCTCAAGCTTGTAGCTTCCCAAAATTACTGCATCTCCTATATTTGTGATCTCTACTCTACCACCTGTAGGAACCTGCACTTTATTGTTATTTTGACTTCTCAAGGTTCTAAAAGTGGTTAGTAACTCCTTGTATGGTGTAATGTGGTGAGATGCCCCTGTATCTATTATCCATTCACAATCAAAGTCTTTGGATAGCAGTGAGGTCATACCTGCCATGTTACCTGTTATGTGATCTGCATCATCACTGGTTGTTGGTTTGTTCAACATGTTCATTATCTGTTTGTATTGCTGTTCAGTGAAAAAGTGACCTTGTGTTTCTGATGACTTCATGTTTTCTCCTGCTACTGTGGAATTAGCATAAGGTCTGAATCCGCTGGTTTGTGATCCTTTCTTCTTGCTTTTAAAAACCCTTGGGTAACCAACAATTTTATAACAGTTTTCCTTCAAATGTCCCTTATAACCACAATGCTCACAGATTATACCAACTCCAACCCTTTTAGGTTTAGGACCTTGGTAAGTTCTTCCTGCCAGCATTGTCAATGGCTCCTTGTTAGCATCTACTACTCCTAACAATCTTTGACTCTCCCCCTGAGAAACAGTTGCATAGGCTTCATTTACAGACACTACAGATCTCCTTGCAAGTAGATTGCTTCTTAGATTAGTGTAGGATTCATTAAGTCCCACAAGGAACTGCAGTAATCTCTGTGACTTCAAATGAACTACATAAGGTAGGGATTCCTCACAATCACAGGAAGGAAGTGGAGCCAAAACGTCTAACTCATCCCAACAATCCTTCATTTTAGAGTAATATGAAGTAACAGACTCAGTTCCTTGCCTCAAAGTGGCAATTTCAGTCCACAAGTGAAATATCCTAGTTAAGTTCGATCTATCAAATCTCTCTTCAAACTCACTCCATACCTTCTTAGCATTAGATGCGTATACAATACTAGCCATCAACTCCTCTGCTACAGTGCTTCCTATCCATGACAAAACAATAGCATCGCATTTCTCCCATTGCTCCGCTAATTCACCCTTGTACATGCTTTTAACACAGGTTCCGTCCACAAAACCTAGTTTTCCTTTGCCTCGAAGAGCTAATTTCATGGCTCTACTCCACAAAGCGTAATTGTTTGGTCCTGTGAGCTTCAGCTGTATTAGGATGAGCCCTGGCGAATCTCCAGGTTGAAGATACAGCGGGTGATTGTGATCCAGAGAAGTAACTTCATTTCCTGTCATTTTTCAGAAAATCGAGCTTCATGATCCTCTGCAATCAGCTGGGAAATCGCACAATTATGCTTTGTGTTCTTCTGCAGATCTCGATCTGTTTCAGCGCATGAGTTGTCCTCAATTTACCCACTCTGATACCATGTTAAATCGAGGCATGCAATTCGTGTGATTAGGGATTTCTTAGATAGAGAATGAGCAGAGAAGGAAGAAGAGAACTGTTTTATTGATGTCCAATTCGAGGCCGATACACAGCTTATATACAGACCTCTCTCGGCTCACTCACGTGCAAATCACATGACCTTTTAACTAACTCTAAAACAATTTTAACTAATAACAATTCCAGCTAACTGCCAGCTAATCACAGTTAGTGCTGGTGCTAACAAAGCTAATAGCTACTGTTCTACACCACTTCACTTCTGCTCCTCTTCATCTGCTTCTTTATATTTCATTAAAAATCAACCATTTTGTTTGCTTAAAATAATTTAAATCTGTTTACACAAAATTTGATCAATTTTGACTGGTTTTCAAATTATGTATTCCTCTAAGTCTAATTTTGCTTAAAAAATGTTTAATTAATGGATGTCCAAATTAATTTAGTAGAATAAGTTGACGTACAAATTACTATGCACAAGGTACAATTCTGACAAGCATAATCTTATTATCCGGCATAAACTCCCCAATCGGCCCTTCCCTACTGTCCTTTCCCCCAGTACTGTAGAAGCCAAATCTCGCCGCTGCAAAACCAGCGCATAATTCTCATCTGAGCGGCGAAGTTTTTCCACTTTCAATGGACTCCCAATGGCTATTTCTATGAGAAATCTTGAAAAAGCTGCAATCTTTAAACCTTCTCCACACTTAATTCGACAGCTCAACTTCAATGGCCAACTCCTCAAAATCGCCGCCACCCAGTTGGATGATGAACAAGCCACAAGGCTACGAGGAAGAGTTGGAGAACAACAGCAAGTGTTCCTTCTTGTTGGTAGCTCTTTGCCCTTGTCTCGTTTGTTTCATTATCATACTAATTGCAGTATTCATCTTTCTCATTGTCAAGTTTCATCTTTTTTGCCACACCCCACTTCACTCTCTACTTTTCAAGAAAAGTTGTCATTGACTAATGCCGGAAAGATTTGGCCACTTTTGCCAAAAGGATGTTCTTATATTGCCAATATTCATCCAAATGTTCTGAGTTCAAAGTTGGATTGTAGGCAATTCAGTACATCTATTTTGCCACGCCCCACTTCCCTCTCTACTTTTCAACAAAAGTTGTCATTTAGTAATCCCAGAAAGATTTGGCCTTTTTGGTCCAAAGGATGTTATTATTTTACTGGTGTTCATCCAAATGTGAAGTTTTTGAGGTTGAGTTGTAGGGGATTTTGTACTTATGTAGATAATGATGGTGAATTAGAAAGTGATAATGATGTTGAGAGTGAGAGTGATGAGAGGGTGGAGTCGAAGGCGGATCCTAAAGAGGTGGATAGGGTGTGTAAGGTTATTGATGAGTTGTTCTCATTGGATCGGAATATGGAGGCTGTTTTGGATGAATGTGGGATCAACTTGAGCCATGATTTGGTGGTGGACGTGTTAGAGAGGTTCAAGCATGCTAGAAAACCAGCATTCAGATTCTTTTGTTGGGCGGCTCAGAGGCCAGGTTATGCTCACGATTCAAGAACGTATAATGCAATGATGGCAATACTTGGAAAGACGAGGCAGTTTGAGACCATGGTCTCGGTTCTTGAAGAAATGGGGGAGAAAGGTTTGCTTACGATGGAGACATTTTTGATCTCCATGAAAGCATTTGCTGCAGCAAAAGAGCGGAAGAAAGCTATTGGGATTTTTGAGTTGATGAAGAAATACAAGTTTAAAGTTGGGGTGGAAACTATCAATTGTTTACTTGATGCCCTGGGAAGGGCAAAGCTTGGGAAAGAAGCACAGTTATTGTTTGAGAAATTGGAGCATAGATTTACACCAAATATACAAACATATACAGTTTTGCTCAATGGTTGGTGTAGAGTAAAGAATCTGATGGATGCTGGTAAAGTATGGAATGAGATGATTGATAAGGGATTTAAGCCTGATATTGTCGCCCATAACACAATGCTGGAGGGGCTGTTTAAGTGTAAAAAAAGGTCTGATGCGATCAAGCTGTTTGAGGTTATGAAAGCCAAGGGTCCATCACCCAATGCAAGAAGTTATACAATCTTGATCCGAGATTTGTGTAAGCAGGGGAAGATGGATGAAGCCATTGACTACTTTGAGGAAATGCTTAGTTCCGGAAGTGAGGCAGATGCTGCAATTTTTACCTGTTTGGTGACAGGCTTTGGAAATCAAAGGAAGATGGATAAAGTCTTTGCATTGCTGAAGGAGATGAAGGAAAAAGGATGCCCACCTGATGCACGACTGTATAATGCGCTGATCAAATTAATGATAAATCGACGAATGCCAGATGATGCAGTTATTTTATATAAAAAGATGATCCGGAATGGAATTCGACCAACTATTCACACTTACAATATGTTGATGAAATCATTCTTCATGACGAAGAACTATGACATGGGTCATGCAACTTGGGAGGAGATGAGTCTGAGGGGTTGTTGTCCTGATGAAAATTCTTACACTGTTTACATTGGAGGGCTTATAGGGCAAGGGCGATCTATGGAGGCTTGTAAGTACTTGGAGGAAATGATAGACAAAGGCATGAAAGCACCTCAACTTGACTACAACAAATTCGCGGCTGATTTTTCTCGGGCTGGTAGGCCTGATATACTGGATGAGTTGGCTAAGAGGATGAAGTTCTCTGGAAAGTTTGAGGTCTCAAGTCTCTTTGCTAGGTGGGCTGAGATGATGAAGAGTAGAGTAAAGCGCAGGGATCCCAGCTGATGGGACTGTAAATCCCTCTTGTAATAGAACATCTTGTTTTTTGTATGTTTACCTAGTTATTCATTTGTTCTTTTGGCATTCATTAGGCTTCCTGGTAATTTAAGTTTCCTCATCTCATGTATTCTTTCCTCACATTAGTGATTTTCTTTTTCCTTATAAAAGGCAAGAACTCTGTATAATTTTGATACCCCCCCCCCCCTTTCCCCCGGGTCCCTTTAGCAGTCTGCATAATTGCATTTGTACCTGCTTTCTTTGACTTCACCTCTTCGATCCCAGCAGCGCCTGCATGAGAAGCCTTATATTCTCGTGGGGCTGTAGTATGTTTCGCCGTACCTTCTGGAAGAACAAAGCATTGAAATCATACATATCTGTTCCAGCTGCATGACAAAAAAGACACAGAGCTATACTTGAGTTGGAATCATACGGGAGGCTGTTCTTTGAGGATTCTCACATTTATTAAATTTTAACCGAAAAAACAAAAACTGAGAGGTGGTGGCTTGTTTTGTGAGATGTACAAGAAAGGAGTTTGAGTTCTCTATCGTATCTGGAATGAATATTGAATACATTATACATCAAACTTCTCTCTTTTCTGCAGTAGGTACACTTTTGGACCTGTCCAGGGTACATGACACCCTGATAGATAGTCATTAACAAAAGGACATGTTACATAAATTGGCGAAGCATCATACGATATATATAATCCCCCAAAAGCCAATCAACTAGGTGGCATTAGTTTAAAGTTAGCACAATAAAATAATTTGATCCTACACAAATGATAGCAGAAAAGGAACATGAAATTCTCTTCAACCCACTTAGGTGACCTTCATATTATGCAGTTAAGCACATAAAACTTGATTCCGGGCTGTTTGATTAACCTTATTATTTGAAATAATTTCGGTATTAGATTCTCCTGACCTATGCTGATTGAGAAAAGATCTACTTGCTAAAACTTCTCCTTTCTTACATATTATTTTATTATTATTATTTTTTTAAAAACTTTTTTGTTATATTTTAGATTCCTTTCCTACGTATTACTAAAGGGAATTTATCTTCGAATTATTTGATTTTCCTAATTATTATTTTCCTTTTTCTATGTCCATATTTTCTTGCTTTTGGAGAAACTTAGAGAAGCCAGAGAGAGGAAGACATGGCGGCAAGGAGCATCACATACATTACCGGCTCTCAGCTTCTCTCTCTTAAACGCCTTCCTAACATCGCCATCGTCGACGTCAGGTCTTACAAACAAACTCTGTCACTCACGTGTTCTTTCAGATCTCTATTTTATGTCTATTTCTGCTAAACCCCCATATATCTGATTGCTTTTGTTTTGGCCTCAAATTATTTGCAGGGATGATGAGAGGAGCTACGATGGTCACATAGCTGGCTCACTTCACTTTGCTAGCGATACTTTTCGTGATAAAATTCCCAGCCTTATTCAAGCTGCTAATGGCAAAGATACCCTTGTTTTTCACTGTGCTCTTAGCCAGGTTCAAATCTTGTTTCCTTACCCACTTTCTCATATTTGTTAAATATCTTTTTCTTTTCTTGTGTTGGTGTTTTTGCAGTTTTTGGTTAAAGATTCTATCTTTTGTTGGATTTTAGTTCTATCTTGATCACTCTACAGTGTTTGCATCACATTGGCATGAGATGATTTAAATGGAGTAACGTGGTCAGTGAGGATTCATATAGTCCGTCCCCAACTTGTTTGGGATTGAGGATAATTGTTGTTACTTGATCACTGTACAGTTCTTTTGGGCTTTGACTTATCTGCTGTTGATACATTTCTGTATGGAACTGCTAATGGCATCTTGAACTTATCCCAGACTAATCTTAGTTTCTAATCTATATTGTGGCTATTGTCAACTCCCTTGGCATTTCTTTTGCCAGATTCAGTTTTTGGTTAAAGAGTGTTTCTGCACATCTCCTTATTGAGTTTCAGTTGATTGGGTTTTTAGGGGTTATCGGCTTGAATTTTGAATTGGCCAAAATTATGGAAAGCAGGGTGGTATAGGATTTCAACTATTACTAGTCAGATAAATAACTTTTAGAGTTATTGCTGTTGGTGGAACTAAAGATATCAAGATCAGTAAAGATATACAATGAAGCGGGGAAGACTAATTAGAGAGTCTCACCTTGCTTTTCTTCCTTAACTTAACATTTCCCTTAGTATCATCTATAATTTCACAGTCAATCTATATTAGTCATACAATTTTTACAATTTGAGTTTTACCTTAATTTTTCCTTTCCTTTTACTTGTTATGATGAGTCGTACAGAGCAATTATAGCCTCTGATTTCCTTAGTTGCTTCTGCAAATCTTTTTTCTTTAGTTCCACTTATGGATGCTTTTCTTTGAGCTACTGTTAGAATAGACAATTATGGTCAAAAATCTTTCTATGGTGTATTAGGTGCTCTATGGCTAAGGTAACCACAGGGATAAGTGCTTAGGCAAACACACAACTTACATTCATGGTCTAGTTTAGATGCAAATCTTCCTTGAATTGCATCCATGGTAAAGGAAAGATTACACATACTGAAACATGAAATGACGTCCAAGGCCAAATCAACATGTCATGGAAGTTCTTAAGAGTGTTGTATAGTAGATATTAGACTAAAAGTAATCATGCCACTGTTATCTTTGTCTCTTTGCTGAAAAGCACATTATGCCTTAGCATAAACCTTCAAAACTTGGTTTTGTTTCTGGAATTGCTCCAAAGTAGCAATCCTTGTATTTTCACAAATAGTCCAAATCTCTTTTTGTTTTCTTGGGTAACGGTGGTATTTGGGTCAGCTCATCCGTTACGATCAGTCCAAGGCTTAGGCAGATGTGGATATTCTCACCTGGTGTCAGCTTTGCTGGACTCCGAAATTTGGTTTCGAAATTTATTATTCCAACTCTTTGACTGCTAAGCCCATCCCTTTAAGAATAATCCATGCTTTTAGTGGTTTTTCAGATTGTTACTCTGCACTATTAATCGACTTACAATTTTGGCATAGATTTGCAGTTTACTGTCAATGAGTTTTACCTACCACCAAAAGCTTTCACTCTTTGGTTAATAACAAATTAAGGACCTATTATTGTCCAAGTCCAACTTCAGATGTTCACTTGACAGTCACTATATAATAGTACATAGTTCTTCATGCTGTTGCTGTTGCAGCATTCTCTCCTTGTAAAAACCTTCAGAGATGGTTCTGCTGCACAATTTTTTAACTTCATTTGGTGGGTACAACTTCTAATAAGATATGCAACTCTCTGTTTTGCACCATTTAACCAATAACTTAAATATATGGGCGAGTTCCTTTCTTCTTCCAATAACATTCTGTATTCCTCAATCCAATCTTGAATGCTATTTGAAATTCAGAAGAGCTGTGTGGAGGATTTTGTTAGGTCAATATGTAAAGCTATTATAATATTTGACTAAGATCTGTCTAGTGGTCTCTTTGGGCTGTATATCCATTCGGTAAAAGAAAAGGAGAAAATGAAGCATCTCCTGATTCCTTGTGCTAGCACTACAGGTAGATATGTCATCTGTACTCATGGATGAAGCAACAACTAGAAGTTAATGAATAAAGTAAATAGAAAGATGAGGGTAGATTATAGAGATAGAAATATCAAAGAAATACGCTAGGTTGTGATTTTGTAGAAGAAGTTATAGTTTGCGGAGTTGCTACTCTAGAGTAAACCTGGAAAAGAGACAACTAATAGCTGATGGTCACTTGTGATTACTTACGAATAAGTATAGAAGAAGGAGGTACCAGTTCAAAGATAAGGCTTGCCTTTTTCAAAAATGTGAAATTAGCACTAAAGTTCAAAGCCTAAAGGCTCATGTTATGCTAATTCTTGCTTTTGGTCTTTGAAATTGCGCATGTGGCTTTATTGCTACATTAAGGGGTCGTTTGGTGTGATGGATAAGCAAAAATAATCCTGGGATAATAATTTAGTACCGCCTTATCCCTTGTTTGGTAACAGTAATCCCAGGGTAAAACAGTAAAATTGACAATCCCATGATTAATACAATATACCAAACAGTCAATAAGAAATAATACCAGGATAACCAATCCCATCATAACTTGTTCAAGCCAAACGACCCCTAAAGGAATAATACTGTACATTGCCAGTTTTAGTAATACATTACTGCCTAAAGGTTTTTTTTTTAACAATTGACCAAGCAAAAATGTGCATAATATTTTCTACAGTTATGAAATGGTTGTGTTGTAACTCACATTCTAGGCTTTGTAGTAGAGTTCGGAGTACTCTCATCTGCTTGCTAATCTCTCATAGTGCAAGCAGTGACACCATCTTCCTGCTTCACTTTAAATTAAGCTTCTCCTCTTCTACATAACAACTTTTCTTTATAAAAAGTTCTTTCATTATGCAAGAGGATAATGAAGTGTTTCATGTGGTATTTTAATGGAATTGGACCCTCGCACTGATTATTACATCTTAAATAACTATTCATTTACGTGTTGAAATATGTTGTAGCCTCTGCGCATGTTGTCCTAGTGATTGCAAGTTTTGGAGAACAGAAGAATATACCTCCTATCTGTATGTCTTCTTTTCACATATCGGTCAGCGTATTGAGTTGTCAATGCCTGTTTTCTAGGTTCGGGGACCAAAGTGTGCCAGGAGGCTTGCAGAATATCTAGCTGAGTCGAAAGATGATGCAGGAATAAAAAATATTATGGTATTGGAACGTGGTTTTAATGGATGGGAGGCATCTGGTAGGCCAGTTTGTCGTTGCACTGAGGTCTTCTGCAAGGGTCACACCGAACAGGCACAACAATAAAATTAGATAAACCATGCCAAAGAAAAGGGATATGTTGCATCCTGATATTATAGTCTTTTGAATGCATATATCAACTATAAAAAATAGAGTTGTGACCTGGGAACACAAGTGACTATTTGGCTGCTGATACATGTATTTGCTCAACATATGAAACTGACAATATTATTTGAGATGTAATGCTGTCTTGAATTACGTTCTTGTAGTTCTCCTCATCAAACAAACTGCAGGGAAAAGCAAAACAACATTTGTTTGATTGTTACCATAAAAAGATGGGATACCTTAAAATCTTCTACACTATGAATTCTATGTAATGTAATGTAATGTAAATATAAACCGTGCAGCTGCTTTACAGTTCAAAATTTGTCTTTTTTCTTTT